TAGTTATAATCATTATTTTTGTTGATATTATAAACATTCTTGTTGTTACGAAAACGGTATTACTATTTTCATTTTTATCGTTACCATTATTATTGTGATCATTTTTACTAAATATTATCATTGTTATTGAGGATGGAAATCGTACACCAAAGGAAGCTAACCGCCTCCTGGTTAGCTCAACTTGTTGGAGCGCTGGACCGTTGTGCGGGAGATCAAGGTCGATGGTTCGAGCCCCGGCCGGACCAACACTCAAAGGTCTTAAAATAACTGAGGAGAATGGGCTACCTTTCTATAATATCAAGAAATGGATAGACATTCTAGTCTTCTCGGATAAGGACGAATAAACCGTAGGTCCCGTCTCCTGGATCTAGTAATTAGTTAATTTGGTTAGGCAGGGGACGTTAATAAACCCACTCACGAGATTACTGTGATGCTGTGATGTGGTCTGGCCTGTTTACTGGGAATTGGAAGGAGGGGGCATCTTCAAATAAGTTTCCTTCGATTGTTTGTAAACTGCTGATGCAGTCCGGCCAAAGTTTCCCGAAAAAGGTTGTGATGCGCATTTGATCATATCCACATGTTAATTTGCGCAATATAAATATTAAACTATTACTATTATTATTATTATTATTATTATTATTAGGTGCATTAAAACGGTAGATGAAAAAAATACTTTCTTTTGAAAAATTAGAAGGATGGCGAAGATCATAAGGGGTAGCATGCGGCCTGTTCAGAATATTGATTACGTCAATAGTAGTTCAGATTTTGTAAAACATGAATATTTTTATGGATATGCCATTTTGTAAACTAAGTTTATCATATTTTATCTGAAAATGTTGTAAAGCACCTCCATTTAGCTATGGAATCCTAGCGCTATATAAGCAATGATGAAATATTTGTCACTATTATTAATTATTATAAACCTGATTATTTTTCTAAGATGGCTCGATCACCCTCTTTCTTTGATACACTTCCAGGGAAGAAGTTGTGTGGTCAACACTTGCCGAGACAAGAAAAAGGTTCGACAGAAAATGAAAGAGGTTCGCGACCGCTTAGGCGTTCTAAGACAGAAGCTCAGTCAACATTTGGATGATTTCCGTCATCGTACGGAGGAAATTGTTGATGAAATAGTGCAGAAGCTCTTGATACATCTCAGGCTAGAAGAAGTTATAAATAGTTGACCAAATGGACCCCAGATGAATTTCCGCAGACAGTAGAGGAAGTAATGGGTGATCATGTCAAGAACATATTGTTGAAGAGGCTTATAGATACCATAAACGAGGGGGAAGAAGAAAACCATGTATTCAGGAATGCTAAAGAATCCCTGGTGCAAGAATTTCAGCAAATATTTACTTTTTTTGCGGCTCGACTGCTCAACTTGAGAAGCACTATCACAGATGACGGCCTAAGTGTTCCAGAGATCGATCCCTCCATGATCAAAGCTAGTCTTCTTGTTAAGGCTTTCGTAAAAATCTATCACTCCCTCCACAAGTATTGAGATTTCTTCCCTTTGAATCGCCTCAAAGCTACACGCGAAATCACTAAGTATTTTCAAGCACATCCTGGGGCAATGTTTGCAGAGCTTTGCAGTTATAGCCAATGGATACTTTGAGACAGTCAGAAGGTTTTGATGAAACAGTCTCAGAGGTTCCTGGATGAAGTTACCAAAGAGGAAGTGCCTAATAAAATAGTGAAGCGCCAACTGCCATAGGTGGAGCAATGTATGACCTATATGAATCGCCTTCCTGAGATTATCAATTCTGACGAGGCATTGGTTAAACAACTTGAAGACGAAAATCGCTCAAGCGAATAAATTAAAAAAAAAAAAACTTACCAGCCAGTTCTCAAAGAGAGGTCAGAACTCCGAGGGAGTATAGCAGTATTTGAGCTGACTGAATCACGTTCAGCTCATATCAGCAGAGAAGAGCTTGAATGGAAGCAACAGTAACCATTTGGCCTCCGAAGGGAAACGTTTTCCATAGTGTACCAAGGTAAAATGAAAAGGAAAGGAACAGGCTGTAGCACTAAAGATCCTCAAAGAATCGTTTTCTGCCAAAACTGCGAGCCATTTCCTTGAGGAGGCAAATCATTTGAGGTAAAATGTTTCCAAATAATTAACTAGATCTGAAACAAATGTCTGCTGAACGTATTTTGCAAAACTTAATTTTCATGGTTTCATTGTGGAGTCTCAGTTATTCGATGCTATTCGAGTGTCGTATGTGATAAAGTTCGCCATGAAAATGTGGAGTAAATATTAGTTTCCGTCCATAGGCTTCATAGACGAGTCATGAGTATTCACCGTTTTATCATTGTTTGCCGCTTGGATCTTCAGTTGACAGATAGCTTCTTTCGATCAGTACCATGCAAACACGATTTTATCCCAACTTCATTCATAAGATTCAAACATTCAGCCGATTAAGGGAAATGACATGTTCATCAATTTTACATCGAACTGAGTCGCAGGACGTAAGGTAATAAATGAACAATAAAAACTACACACATTGATATTAAAACTGACTCCGTGATAATAACCCGTGCTTATGGGTTCTGGAACTGAGGCCAAAAATAGTATAAACCTGCATATAGATGGGACTGACATTGAACAATCAAAATCTATCAAACTGTTGGGGGTACTCTTGGACTCCTAACTAAATTTTAGCGAGCATATTACCTTAGTCTGTAAAAAGGCAAGTCAACAGATAGGAGTTTAAGTCGTCTAAGAAAACTAATACCCACTTACGCTAAACTACAACTTTATAAAGCCGCCATTTTACCTCACTTGACCTACTGCAGTATCATCTGGCATTTCTGCAGAGCCTCAGACAAACGTAAAGCTGAAAGACTACAGGGAAGGGCCTTGAGAGCAGTTTTCAACGATAAATCACTCTCTTATGACGGCCTGCTGAAGCTGGCTGAAATTCCATCACTGGTGAACAGAAGGCTCCAGGACATAGCAATCCTTATGTTCAAGGCAAAAAAGAACTTACTTCCTTGTCAAATACAGGAACTATTTATGTCAGAAGTAAACTGCGATAGAAGATATTCTCTAAGAAATGCAGATTTTAGAATCCCTCGCTTTAATACAGTAAAATATGGTAAACACTCTATAAGATACTATGGCCCTCTCCTCTGGTCGAAACTTACAAAAGAGTTACGCAGTGAAGAGAGCCTGCACGGATTTAAGAGCAAAATCAGGAGAACGGACATGACTGTCATGATTGATGATGGATGCAAAAAATGTGCGCTCTGTAATAGTTGATTTTTAACTCTAGGACATTGATAAATAATTTTAACTGTTAATAGGTTAGGTAAATAATTCTGTAAATAGGTTCCAGATTTCTTATTTTCAAAGCTTTTACCCTGTGTCCCCAATTAGTGCTATGCGCTAGGTTTTCACGACACATAGATAAAGTTCACTACTACTACTACTACTACTACTACAACTCAGCACCAGTGAAAACGCAAACTCATGATTTTCTTTAATCCTTCATCCCGTATTTCGAAGCAGGAAAGAGAGATTTCTAACTTTTTTAGAAACAGTATATTACGTACCTGTTTGCTTATGGTTTTCTCTTTTTATTAGGAAATTCGACCACCCGCATATAGTCAAGTTTTATGGAATTGCAGTCCTCAATGCAGCGGCAGTTATGGTGATGGAACTGTGTAAAGGAAGCCGGCTAAGAGAACATCTTCTAACTAACCTCAAAACATCAGTCCCAGGGTTATCTTCAAATCCAAATGCCGTACCACACCCTACTTACACAATCTAAATGGTTAACACCCACCTTATCTAACTTTAGATCATTGGGCTCAAGCCGTTTTAAATGATCATCTAAGTCTTTCCAGTAGCTTATTAAATATGCATAAACATTTCGACCAATCAAATCCTTCATTCTTCCGTGAACAAGCCAAGGTGATCGCTGCGAAATGCGTCGGTTAAAGCCCGTCTTCCTTGATGTAAAGAATATTGGGCGCGATGGAAAGAAAACCACTGTACCGATTACGCTGAGAGTGGATCTTTGGAAGCAGCCTCATAAGAGTACGGAGGAAAATAGTCAGGACAGCAACAGTCCAGTAGAAAATGTCCCTCTTGACGATCTCGTAAAGCAGGAACTCCCAACTGAACAGCAAAATCGTGTTTTGAGTATCTCTGCTAACTGGGAAAGGTACGGGAAAAGCTGCTGAATTTGCACATTGAAGAACAGCATCTTCCAGACAATACTAAATGCGTGAACTGTCAAAAGAGTATCGCTACAATGTGAATACTGTGGCCCTCGCCAGTACTTCTGTGTTGAATTTGCACGAGCTCTACATGTCAATCGAAACAAGTTTCTTGTACTTGAGCAATGGAAGGTGTGTATGAATATTTTGAGGCCGGTTGTATTCTAGTTACTTTAAGTGTAACATATCTGGTTAAACTGTACTTTTATCTACTTCTTACTTTCTTTATTTTAATAGGATGGGGTATTTTCTCCTTTGTATGCAGATGAGGCAACTGTTAGCTATGGCCATACGTGCAACTTCTGGATGCCTCAGGCCAGTTCATTTCATTTATAGTGGTTAGAGAATACTAGAATGGTTTAAAAACGAAGCGTTCTTTTTCAATTTCATATGCTCCTTCGTCACATTTTCCTGCCGCTTGCCTAAAATCAAGAACGCTGATGATAATGATACGATTTAAATTCTCTCGATATGTCAGGGCCAATAATTAAAATCAAACAATCAGATTGCTCCATTGGCTGTCCAATAATTTCTAAGTATTGGACCTAGTAATGTCCTGAATGATCTCACCAGCAATTAAGTGTTGTAATGATATGGCTTGCCATTAAGTTCAAAGAGAAACATTATAAACTTGGCTTGCATCTATCTGTAAGAGCCTTTTCTGTCGTGCTGGAAGAATATTGGCCCTTGGACTTTTCTGTACAGACCTCGCGGCACTTGGTTTGTACTTTCAAGACCTCGGGCCAATATGGCCCTTGCGCTTGGTTAATAAGGTGTCTACATGGCCCTCAACAAAGTAAGAGGTATGTAAAGTTGTATGTAATTTTTTTTTTCATTTTGTTTACTTAATTTCTTAAGTTGTTCATTTATTTTTTTTATAAATGTCAGGAAATCATCACCTCAAATATGTACAAGTGTGTGATTGTGAGCCGCATGCTGTCACACTCTTGAAATGTCAGTTCTGGCCAGGGTCACCAGCAAATTCCACCATAGGATTGAGCTTCAAACTGATGGAGTTTGTGGAGAATGTCTTTCTTCATTGTCAAGTGTCCCTGCTAAACATCACAGAAGTGATCACAGAACTCAGTCCTCAGCTACAACCAACACATGTAGGTTTGCTTGCAAAGAGTCTTTTTCAGAGATATGACCAGACTTTTTTTAATTGATTGATTTTGGTTGAATGGTATGTTTTTTTTTAGGTGAGCTCAATTTAAAGTATCCTTAATTCAGAATGCTTTGAATAATTCGGGTATGTGTGGTTATAGGTTGAGAGTATCAAAGCTGCTAATTTGTTGACGTACACGGTCTACTAAGGCATTATTGATATTAGAATTAATATCATTATTACTATTATTATTGTTGCTGTTCTTGTTATATTATTATTATTAGTAGTAGTAGTAGTAGTAGTAGTAATAGTAGAGACAGTCACATGATTTACAAGTGCTTCTTTATATAGTTATTATATTTCTTTATTTATTGTCTAGTTGCCCAGCTTGAATATAGATCTCAAATTCATGCTTTGCTTTTGTCGCTTTTGTGTTCATATGATTCAAAGATACATTGACTGTTTGTTTTAAGGCCAAGATTCCATTTACATTAATTTACAAGACATATTTCTTGCTGTACGTGTACATTTACTGACTTAATTGCTGTAAGAAAATAATTGGTCTTAATTGACATTTTGTTGTTTTCACGTGAAGGTATTTCATGCATCAGTACAAGCATTGTACAAACTACAATGGAAATTTGTACAATAGAGCTTGGTGTCCTTTATGTCCAAGGGTAACTATGCATTGTAATTTGTTTTGAATAGTAGCTTGCACTTGAGGAATATTATGGCATTCATTTTGGGGCACACAAAATGCACTCATCTCTACACTAGTGCTGTAGTTCTGCAGTATTCATTTTATGTTGTTGTTGCTGTTCTGTTTTATATCTATTTTTCTCTTTTCCCCTATCTTTCGAACAGGATGATGGTGAACTCATTGAAAGCATGGGTGGGTGCTTTGGATTGTGTAGAAAAAAGGACAAAGGGCATGATTTAGGAACACCCAAACATGGAACACTCCTATTTGCAGACCACGATGATGTTGACAATTTTGTTAACAGTTATGGCAAAGCTGGAGCAGACATGGAACAGGTCTGTATATAGAAGATAATGCAATGCTCAGATGTTAATTTGAGAATTGTATGATTTTCCTTTTGGCCCTTTGAATTCAAGATTTTCTGTTTTTGTCCCTTTTTTATCTCTTCCTGGTCAAGTCTCAACTCCACAACCTCCACATCTTGTTCTTTAATCTTGTCAGACAGTCTAACTACCCTTTCTGCACATTGTCTGTCCACTATCCTGGACAGAAGAGTGACTACTCTTTCAGGCTGAGTTAGAGAGGGAGTAACATTCCCATTGCTTTGCAAGTTTATATCTAAATTATCGGTAATCACAAATTTAATTTCCCTTTTTTTCTCCATTATGGCCTGGAGCTGCTTAGTGCCATACTGGAAGGGTTTCTTAAGGAAAATGCCATCTGGGAGATTTTCTACTGTAAAACCCCCACGTAGATAAGGCACCTTGCTGCCTGGTTTCTTTATTGCTTCAACTACAGTGCAAGAGAAAGAGAAACATTGATTAGTAATGATAATAGCACTGAGTGGAGTACAATAATTAGGAAGTAATTGGGGAAGTAACGAGCCTGAGTACCCCTGAAATGTATGACAGTAAGTCTTTATTGACCATTTCCACATGTCAGTCCCTGCTTCATAGACTTTCTTTGCTAAAATGTGAGACACAAGGTAGGAATACGTAATTCAATTTCATTGGCTTTAAGTGCCATTTTCCACTGGATTTTCGTTGGCTGCATAACTGTCAGATTTGACCTGTCCAATTACAAGCAGCTGTAATGATTATCACACAGTCCAAATTGGACAGTTTGCTTATTACAGTATTCAGTTTAAGGATCAAATAATCGCTGTTTAGAATCAATCAAGTTTGAGGATTTTGTTATAGACATCATCATCATCTTTGTTGTTACTGCCTCCTGGTTAGCTCAATTGCTTAGAGTGCCAGATTGTGTTGTGCGGGAGGTTGAGGGTTCGAGCCCCAGTCGGACCAATACTCATGGTCTTAAAATACCTGAGGAGAATTTGCTACCATTCCAAAATATCAAGAAATTGATAGATATTCTAGTCTTCTTGGATAAGGACGAATAAACTGTAGGCCCCATCTCCTGCAGGGACTTTAGGTAGAAAATGTTAATTCCCCACGCACGAGATTACTGTGTGATGGATGTCCTCCCCTGGGGTGGGATGGGTGGGGGGGAAAGGTGAGGTCGTTACATGGACTAAAGCGGCTGCCAGAGGCGCCTGATAATGCTGACGTCCGATCTCAACCTTAATAACATTGTAAACCTTCGCAATTCAGCCCATGCTGCTATTAAGGTATATATCAAATAAACCATTCACAACCAATCAGCTAATAATAATGATGACGATGACGATGATGATGATGATGATGATGACAACAATTACATGTTAATATCTGTACTATAAAGTAAATAATATGTATATTCTTAAACCTACTGTATTTGGAATTGAATAAATGTTGTACATCTTTGTATGTGTACCTCTCATTGGTGCAAGCTAAATAAATAAATAAAGGGAGAGGTACTATGTAGTTTCAGGTCTATTTTGATAACATGTTCACCTTATTTAGAATCATGAATAATGTCGTCAATTGGATGACACTGAATAGTATAAGCTACTGATATAATCTTCTACTAAATACAGTTGCATGCCAACAAATCAACAGAACACTTTCAAAGATGTTTATGATATTACTAATTGACAAAGTAATGATATAATACCAAAGTGGTATCGGAATTTGATGTTGATGTCAGGATTCAGGTATAAAAAAGAGTACCCTGCACTTGATCCAAAAGTTGTACACTGAAGTGTCTTGAAAAATCAGAGAAGATTCACAGCCTAAGTCTTCTAGAAACATGATCTGTTGAAGTAGATGAAAAAGTAAAATATGGCACGAGGATTACTCAAAAGGACACAAACATTTGCATGTTCCATTAATTCCCACAGACGGTATAACAACAATTAGAAATTATTCATCCACTTTTAATGAAGTTTTAAATTATTCTGAATTTTCATGGTTTATGCTGCCTAATTGGAATTTGGCTTAAAGATTATTTTTTAAAGTGATTGAAATCCTTACCTCATTTAGAAGATTTTTCCTGTGAACTGATATCAACTTAGATTTTTGAGCCTCACTAAGCTCTGAAACATCTGGGGCCTTTAAACTTTCTGCTTTTCCTTTGAACTCATCTTTTTCTGCAGATGTCATGTCATGCCATTTCTTGGCAGCTTCTTTGTTCTTTTGAGGCAAAGACAATTTCTTGCACTCATCTGGCAAAAAAAAAATAAAGTTTTCATTTCCACTGAATATCAATTGAATTGGTTTGATTATTATAATGTCACTGCATGATTTTCAGTTTCCTCAGCGATCAAATATCTAACTATAATTGAAAATAAATTAATTAACCACTCAATTATGGTGTTAAAAGTCAAGAGAAGCTGAGGATGAAAGCCCTTTTGGGTTGCAATATAGAGCTCTGTCAGACCCCCACCCTTGCAAGTACCCGTCTTGGGGTTTAGACACATTTAACAAAACCACTGTCCATTATTGATTTCAATCTGGTATCCTGGCACCAAAATAAAATTAACATCCAGCAGACAAAGTTAGGAGAGAAAGCTACGATATTCATTTCTTAGAAATAATTCACTAGTAGAGCTAGGTTTATTAACGATACCCATAGACGTATAGGCACCTTTGGACTTGGAGGGGGGACTGTGACCTCCATGCCTGAAAAAATTACACAATTTCCTAATGTGTTAGCATTAAACTGATG